AGGAAGTGGGGGCAAGTTTGTGCGACAACGGAGGGACATGAGGGCCAAAAAGAGCGGAGATCCAAGTGGAAAAAGGTCCCAGCGTTCTCGTGCATCTCACTCTTCTAGCTGGTCCAACTTCACCAGTTTATACAAAAAAACCACACCGGTAAGGAACCAAACAGGAAATACGCATAGAGTAGAGCGGATGTAGATGTGACCAATCAGAGGCCTCCTGTCTGCAGCCACCTATAGTTTTGGAGAGGTGCACCAGAGTGTCTGCGGAAGGGGCAAGGGCACAATTTGCGTTTACTACGACAAACACAGACAACCTGGTTTCCGAGTTTAAATCAGCCTAAAGTTGATCAGGAAGGCCGGCTCTGTGATTGGATGCCCCCTGGACTCAGTGCAGGAGGTGGAAAACAAAAAGGATCCTAACTAAATCAATATCTCTGTTTGGTAATGTCTCCCACCTCATGCATGAAGCTGTTGCAGAACTGAAGCGCTCCTTCAGCGACAGACTGCTGCACCCTAAATGCACCAGGGAGCGTTATCACAGATCCTTCCTCCCAACAGCTGGAAGACTCTAGAACCACCACTGTTCCCAACAACCTCAATAAGTTTTTACCTTCATGCTGATTTTGCAGTTTCTATCTTAGTCAGTTACTGAATAACTCCTTTGGAAAGTTTAAGGCACTAAACAGCACTGCAGCAGTGAAAGCCCTTCAACACCAGGGGGAGAGCTGCACCCTGAGGTGACAGGAGGTCTATTTGCTCACCACCTCCTGCCACAGCACGGATAATTTGCGAGTGATTGACAGGTCGAGTCGCGGGAGGTGGAGACTGATTAGAGAGAGAAATTGCCCAAGAAACGTCCCTTTCCAGGACCTGGTTTAGCTACGAGGCTTGGCTAACTGCATGCAATGAGGCTAATGCTTTACCCTGCTTTTCCTGACTCCTTTTTCAAACGTCAGGATCTGAGCCAGTATTTTTTTTAGAAAACGCAAAGAAGAATGAACAATCTGGGATTCACATGGAAAATAATATCATATAGTTTACTTTTTGTAGATGGTTGTTCATTTGCAGAGCTGCTCATAAATAAACACATTCTCAGAAAATAAAGTTTTTATATATTAAAAAAATATAAAGTTGTCTAATAGGTTCTCCATTAATAAACAGTTGCATTATTTTTTTAGCTTTTTGACACAATATTGGACCATAAACACAGATTTAGCTTCACAAAGCCTCAGAATGGCTGAATTTATGTACAAAAATTAAACCTGTACATATTAGGTTTTGTTTTTATAATTTTCTTTTTTGTTGTTGTTGACATTCATATTAATATACTGGTGTGATAAATTTGTATACTTTTGAATGGTTTTTGGTATACGTCTATTTTGAATCATAGCCCACCCTGGAGAAAATTCCACCAGCCGCCACTGGTAATGACCATGAAAAAATGGGAAGAACTTGTCAAGAACTGATCTCCAACACATTTCAATGTATTCGCCGTTTTCCAGACAACCGCTAAACGCGTTTCTAACTGTTCTAACAGCTACTGTTTAATGGCGTATCGGCAGCATTTTGGTATAAAAGGAGGAAACCGTCAGTTCTCCTCCAGACTGCATCCCCATCACAGGGTGAACGAGAAGGTGGGGGTGATGGATCCTCCCTGTGTTCACGCCCACCACCAACAAACTTCCTAGCAGACATGATGCTCAATCTGCTGTGTTCTTTCTTTCTTTTTCTTTTATCTGTTTAAATATTCTTTTTTGGTGCATGGTAAACAGCAGCTAGGTTAATACCGCCATCAAAGACATCTTTTAATGCAGGCCGGGCGCCTCCGGGTGCATTGCTTCCTTACAGTTCAACTAGATCATCCAGTCAAATTGATTAAAAGTTTTCTATCTAAGGAAAACCAGTTGATTGCATCGACTCATTGACTGAAATACAATCCCTCACACCAAGCATGCTTGTAGCGACAGTGGAGAGGAAAAACTCCTTTTGAACAGGAAGAAATCTCCAGCAGAACCAGGCCATATTCTATTTATACTAGGGGTGGAACGGTTCACAAAATCACGGTTCGGTTCACAGTTTCGTGGTCACGGTTTTCGGTTCGGTTCGGTTTGGTAAATGTTGATTGTTAGCATGACATGTTGGTCATGTTGCTGTTAGCATAAACAAAACGTGTTGCACAATGCTTGCACACTGTTGCACTTTTATCCACAACTTTCTTTCCGCCGTCATCGTAGGTCACTCTAAATGCAAAAGTGGTCCCATACAGCAGACCTATAAAGTGCTGCTGGCGCGTCTTTCAACTCCTGTTCTTTCCCACTCGCCATACCCACACAATTCTCCACAACAACTGATTTTTTTCTGCTACACCCGGCTACGCTGCTTCGCTTCTTCTTGTTGTTTACTACTGGTGGTTGGCTTTGGTCGCAGTACCGCCACCTTCTGCTCTGGAGTGTAAACGCTTCGCCTATGAGAAAAAGGAGCAGCGCATGAACCGAACGAAACACACGCAAACCGAACCGAGACAGTAGAACCGAACGGTTCGGACGGTTTTCATACACCGTTCCATCCCTAATGTATACGCCTAAAATAAAAAAAAAATACATAGAAAGTTCAGTATATGCCAGCGTTTTAGAAGATTCTGAGGCATCCAGCATACGCTGGCTAAATCATCAAGGTGTGACAGTTGCTTTAGATAAGAACTGGTACCAAGATTCGAGTCTCAGACCAAGAGTCCAAGTTGAGTCTCTGTCGGCCACAGCTGTCAAACTTCCATCCTTAAGAGTAGGTGTGGCTTGTAACTGTGTCATTAGCAGAACTTTGTTGAACTTAGCTGCATGAGGAGGTGATTCAGTCTTTTTATTCAGGTGTTTTGGAAGTGATGCCTGTCTAAAGGTAAAGCCAAGGCCTTGGCTTTTACACCTCAAGGGGGAGCCTCGACAACTCCTCGAGAACTTTTAAGACACCTGGAAGGGCATACCAAGGACCAATCACAGCTGCTTTTTTTCTGCGCACTTCCGCTTGAGGTCTGCGCGGGGTCTGCGACCATCCGACGCGTAGTCAGGATTTTTAGACGTGCGCGACAACTGTTGCAGAACCTCTGCGCGGGGGGCGTAGTCGCGCACAGAGACAGATTTGACATTTGCAGAGGCTAGGCATCAGAAGCATATATTGGCCTTTAAGTGTGACTCAGGTCTCTGTGAAGCAGGGCTGAGCTGCATCTACGTCCTTTAGCACAGGTGAGAAACACGGCGGTGGAGGGCTGATGGTTTGGGCTTGTACTGATACCACAGCTAAAGGCCGGTACCACAAACCAGACTGAAATGCAGAACATTTCTGATCCATAACTGCCTTTCTTTTTCAGAAATAGTAGAGGTTTAATCAGGACAACGTTTTATGCTCCAAACGCTGATTTAATCAGGGAGATTCACTAGAATATTAATCTCTGTTCTTCCTGGAAACATTAATCCCATCCTAACAGGCTGCACAGTAATATTAATCCCAATCTGAATAAAAGGTATGGACACCCTGCTAAATGAGGTAAAATGAAATCCTCAGCTATCCTCTGGGCCTGTTTGTTCCGCTGCTCATACATAATGACCCATTTTACATTTCCTCTGCTCTAACCTGAATTTTAAAAACAACCCAGGTGGTTCAGACTTCAGCGCCTTCATCCCAGGTGTTCCGGGTTCTTCCCCAGCCTCAGTAAGGTTCCACTTGGGTCCAAACTGAGCTGATCAGAGGTGAACAGGGCTGAAGGCATAGACGGACCTGTCTCTCTCATAGCTGCCGCCATAAATCCCTTCCTCCCTTTTGTTCTGATCTGTATAGGCCAAACAAATCTACCCAAAACTCCTCTGGGCTATGGAGTCAATTTTGTGCCATTTTGTGCCATTATTGTTCCAAGTTAAGAACACTTTGTAAATGGAAATGAATGATAAAAAAAAAAACACTTTTAATTATTTGAAATTTGGGAAAATAAAATAATGACTGACAGTTTATCCATCTCAAGGAAATATTCCCAGATGTCGCATTCAGGAACTCTGGAAACTAGAAATGTCTTTAAAACATATATATTTCAAGTTTGTGTGGTATGTTTTAAAGGAAATAAAAGTCTTAGCCGTTTTAAAAGCATTAGCTTGAAACTGAAAAAATCGAAACATGAAAAACCTGAAAAATAGTTTTAAACCTTTCATTTCCTTCCTGTTAAAAGGAAGTTTTTCCTCTCCACTGTCGCTACAAGCATGCTCAGTGTGAGGGATTGCCTTCGAGTCAATGCCATGAACTTGTTTTCCTCAGAAAGAAAACTTGACTATATGATCTGGTGAACTGTCTTGAGATAACGTGTTGTGAATTGGCGCCGTATAAATAAACTGAATTGAATTTCATTTTTACTTTACTATACTTTTACTTTACTATTTTTTTTATTTTATTTTTGTTGTTGTTTTAAAAATATTTGTCTTTATTTTAATTTATTTTATTTTTTTCAGGATCAAGGATTTTTTTTCTCTTTCAAATTTTTTTTTTTCAGATCCTTAAACAGCCTATTTGAACAACATTTATGGCCTCACTTTAGCTCCATAGATTCTGATCAGCTCAGACATTTTCTGCTAAACTTAATGAGACTTTCTTACTTCTGGACCTCTTCCTGCACCAAAACATCATCATCTTTTATCTTCATGCACTGAGCTGCCACCAGAGTCACCGCAGAGGGAATGTGGTTGCTGGTTTGGTTCCGTTTTGCGGTCAGAATGTTATTAAACATGCAGAATAAACAGCTTAGATGCAGAGTGAGGTGGCAGCAGCAGTGATCCTCACAGCTTTAACGAATGTTGGGATAAATCTGCAGATTAGAGGTGATTTATCTGACTGATGCTCAAAGGGAAGCTGGATTAAACACCTGAGAACCAGAGAACCACAGAGATGCTGGATGCTGCCGCCCTGCGGAGCATCACTCAGACCCCGGTCCAGGTTCTGGTTCTGGTTCTGAGGGGGGATCAGCTCACCCAGCATGGAGAAGATGAAGTCCTTGGCCGTGTGGATCTCCAGGGCCCGCTGGTCGTCGTACTCCCGCTGGTCGTGTTTACTGAAGTCCTGGATGAGTCGGTTCAGGTCCTCCATGCGGGCCCCGGACCTGAAGTCCAGCTCGGGCCCGGAGCCCCCGGGGGGGAGTCTGCCAGCGGCCGTGGATGTGGGGCTGTTCCCGAGGCTGCCCACCGAACCGGCCCGACCGGAGAGAGCTGGAGCCGCCATGGTTCCTCCCTGCTGGGTCTCACTACAGCTGCTGCCGTTGGTCTGTTCTGGGCCGAGCCGAGCCGAGCAGAGCCGAACACAAGGACCGGAAGCAGCAGCGCCGCCTCCACGCCTTCATAATAAAAGCCTCGCCAGCCTAGAGGACGTTTTTATTTTATTTTTTAATTACGCATTAAATTATCACCGATTGATCAAATCATTGTTTCTTTTTAAATAGATTTAAGAAAATTCTGATTAAAAAAACTACTAGTCAAAAAAGATGGCGCCCAAACACACTTTACTAGTAGGGTTGATGAAATAATAGTTCATCTCGATAAACTCTGAACTTTGACAATAAAGACATAAACAGGTAAATAAATGACAGAGAAATACAGCATAAAGAATCTAAATCAGAATCGATTTATTGCCATCATATCTAAAGGTCAGCAGCCCTTAGGAAAAGTAGAAATAGTTGTTTATGGGAGTCAGGGGCGCTGCCAGGAATTTGGGGCCCCATGACAGACATTGGTATAGGGACCCCCCCTATAAAATGTCTGCAAGCTTTAAAACTGGTATAAAGATGCACTGAAGAATACCATATACATTGTTAATGTAACTTTTATTGTAAAATTTCTACAAAGGAAAATGATCATAACGTGAAAAAGTTAAATATTCCTATTAGGTTTCACTATAACTTTATTAAAGGACAGATTATTTTCATGCTGGCCCTGAGAACTAATTTTTCATACATGTATAGGTTTAATGATCATGCTTCAGGGTGCACAATGATCAAGATTTATAGATGTCTTTTAATGGTATAATATATGATATAATATAATGTATTTATGGTATAATATAATATTTTAATGGCATAAACCTATTCATATATCCATGCTTTTCAGTGTTTACACCTGAAAAACGATGGAGAACATGCAGATTATTTATTTTAGAGCTGGATTTTCTTTTTAAATTTGAAAAATATAACTAATTTTTTTCCTCTTCTTTTGGGGGCCCCCTTAGTCAAGGACCCTTAGAATCTGCCTAACCTTTCGCCCCCATACGGCGCCCCTGGTGGGAATATCTGAAAAGTAGACATTAATATATGTACTAGTGTGTGAATATTTATAAACTGAGTAAAAGAGTGTTTTTTAAGCACTGTTTTATTATATGTGAAAAAAGGAAGCAATTAATTAAAACAATCAGAAAAGATTTAACTACACACTGATTTTAAGTCACAGCAATCAATTAAATCAGCTTTTATCAACAGATTTGCTTAGTAGGTTTAGTAATAAATGTCTCAGCACTCTGTGTATTTACCTCTATCAATTATTTGTTAGGGATTAAAAGTATCTCTTGTGGTCAGCAGACTTATAGTTTCTTTAGAAGAACAGTAGTTGAAATATCATCTACTGTCCTGCAGTGGCAAAACGAAAAGGTGAATGGTAGAGTTAGGATCATGTAAGATGTGCATTTTAGGACATCCTCAGTTCTCAGGAAAAAAAGTCAATCTTTTGGAAAAACTTGTCAGTTCTTTGATATAAGAAAACATTGGAGCTTTTTTTTTCATTTTGTGAAATTGTAACTAATTAGGCATATATTTTCGTTCACTAAAGCAACTTTCTTCCTTAAAAACACCTTTAATGTGTAGTTTGGGTCTTATAAAGCGATATATTGTTTGTAATTATCAATGCCTTCTTATTTTGAAATGCCAGACGGATGTGAGGGTGAGTCTTAATTACACCTTTTATTATTTTTGTATTTTTCCAGGTGTGCTCTGTCACCTTCTATCCACTGGGTGTCGCTGTGGTCCCCTCTGAGCCCTGGCTTTCGGTCTCCTTTCTGACCCGGAAGTGTTGGACCTACCGGTGACCGTCAGATTCGAACATGGCCTGGAGAAGCTGCTCCGTGCTCTGCAGGCTGACCGGAGGAGACCCGTTTCTGTGCTCCGTGAGAGGAGGAAGGTCAGTCAGTACCCGGCATCCCGGAGGAGAAGCAGCCGGTCACGGCTAGAGCTCCGGCGCGAGGAGTTAGCAGCTGATAGCATGAGTTAGCACCAAGGACCGCTTGGTACAGCTAGTTAGGTTGATGACAGTTTGCTGCCAATGTTTTGCTCCTAGTTTGGCAAAGTTAATTAAATCTGAACATTTCAAACAAGTGTGACACAAACACTTAATTGCAAAAAAATTTTAATTAGGCTTAAGCTCATGTGAAAATAATCCTGATAAACAGGTGATTTATTTACTTCCTGAGTCACAGTTAGCATTAGCAGCTCTGGCTAATTCCTCTAAAACTCACTAGTTGTTCGTGTTCTTTTGGTGTCAGATGAAGCCATCTCTGCCCTGACTTTCTTCTTGCTGTTTGCAGCATCAAAACCCACCTAGATAATAGACAAATTAAAATATTTCCATCTGAGGCTGTTTGACACTTTTATTTTGAAAACAATGATAAATATCACATGACAAAGGACTCAGTTATGAGTTTGACTCCTATGTTAGCAACTAGTCAGAAAACTAAATGTCTTATTTAGGTTTTTGGAATAGAAATAACCTAAATGTGTTTATTTGACCAGATATGTTAAATAAAGTCTTAGGTCACCAACATTTTGTGACCAACAAATCGCTTTGAATCAGTATGCAGTGAGTGTGAAAAAAAAAAAAAAAGCTATTCAAAAATGAAACAGATGTTTTAATCAAAAAATGTTTTGCTGGGTGTTATTTTAAATTTTTTTTTTCCAGATTCAGTTCTCATATTTTTTTAGGTTTTATTTCAATAATTTACTTTTTTCTTAATGCATTATATATTTTTTAAATTTGTATTACTTTTTCAGATTTAGTGTCATGAATTGCATTCACATTTGAGCTGAAAATGTAAAATAAGTCAAATCAATTCGGGAAAAATAATAAAAAATAAATGTAAACTTTTTTGAGAGAATAACTTTGAAATACTTTTTCAGTGTTTCATTTCTGGATCTTTTTTTGCACATATTAATTCTTAAAACTTTGTGTCTTGCAATAATAGGAGCACAAAATTATCTAATGTCCTTTGTTTTACAAACAGGAAGTTACAGATTGTTTTTTTATGTTGAAAATGAAGAAGCTGTAAATAAAAGGTTTCATCATTTAGAGGCGTCTGAATACTGAGATGGTTTCTTTGTTGCTGAGCAGACAGACCAGGTTCTGACCTGTGTGTCCAGCAGGTGGCCTCACAGCTTCCAGCAGAGAAGTGGCTTCAGGAAAGCTTCCAAAAAACCAGAACCAAAGAAGCCAGAGGATCCGGTTCCGGCTCACACCGAGTCCTCTGAGGCTGCATTCCAGAACCGGGCCCCCCTGCAGCCTCCCGTCACCCCCCAGAGGCCCTTTGGCAGACTCGTCCGGCCGTTCCTCTTCACCGTAGGGGTAGGGGGAGTTTACCTGGCCTAGTGTGATGACCTCATCAGTGATGTCATGACCAGGTGCTAACTCCAGGTCAGTTTACAGGTAGCTCCTTCGGCTTGGCGGCCATCTGGCAGTACGAGTCGCTCAAGTCCCGAGTCCAGAGCTACTTTGACGGGCTGCGAGATGATTGGCTGGAGAAGGTTCGACCTCAGAAACGAGGAGACGTCCGCAAGGAGGTAAACGAGTTCAGCTTTACTGTATCAGTAGAATCGGAGGAGGTGTGGGAGGATAATGATTGGTTGATTGTGTTTCAGATCAACCAATGGTGGAACAGCCTGTCTGAGGGCCAGAAGACGGTCACAGGTGAGTCCAGGTCCTGGTTCTGTTGCTCAGCTTGATTCCTCTCTGAGTCCGTCGGACCTTTCAGTCCGGTCCTGCTTCAGCAGGGAACCTTTAGTTCCTGCTGTTCTCTGACCTGGACGAGGACTGGGCCGGTTTCAAGCTGTTCCATTGATCGACCCGTGGTCCGGTATCGTGTCAACTTCAGGACTGAGCTGAATGTTTGTAGCGTTGCTCTGAGTTGCAATCTAATCTGATCTCTGATTGGTGGCTGGACTGAAACCCAACGCCATGTTGGGTTAGAAGTAGGGCTGCAACTAACGATTATTTAAAAATCGATGAATCGGACGATTATTTTTTCGATTAATCGATGAATCGGACAAAAAATATTTTTTATATTAACCTCTTTATTCCAAAATAAACATTTTAGACAGAACAAACAAGTACAGGTTGCTCATAAACTGTACTGGTGCAATATGAAAAATAAATGTTTGTGTTAAAACTACGCAAACTTACATGAGAAATGTAGCTGTACATCCACAAAATATTGGGTACTTTGTTTCATAAGGCGCAAAAAAAGACATTTTTGTTTTTAAAGCCCCTAAGGGGTTCAAACAATAGGTCCCCCCATTTCAACAAATGAGGTTTTTTTAGACTAGAAGAGTTCTGCCTTTTAAGACAGGAAAGTATAGCAGTTAAAGTTGCTACTTGAGAAAATACTGAACCATAGAGATAAAAATAGCCCTGTGATTCAAATTATAAATTGTATTTGGAATAAAAATGAGAGAACTAGGGGTGCTAAAAAACACATCCTCCAAAGACAGATATTTACATGGGAATGTGGCAGATAATTAATTGACATATTACTGATCTTGCTGGATTTTATTCTGCTTTACTTCCATAAATTGCAGGATCTTCTTTACTTTATCTTTGCCAGAAGATTTAAACTTTAAAAGCCTTGCCCTCATAATTTGCAAGTTAATTTATTTATAAAGTAAATGTACGCGCTGCTTAAGCTAATTCAAATGAAATTAAAACCAAAATAAGTAGCCAACCTTATCACTGTCTGTAACCTACTAACACGGTAAGGAAAGCATCAGACGAGCTACCTGAGAAACTAACGTTACGTTTCCCCTTTAAAACCAAACAAACATGGTGCTTCCGTGCCATGTTAATTTCTTTTGAAAAAAGTTGCATGTTATCACTTTTTTCGCTTTACAAAGCGCAGGCTATTTTAATTATTGTGATCAATTTGCGCCGTCAATCCAGGTGCATGCGCGCTTCATTTGCAGTCTGGACGCTGAGGCTCTCACTGCAGCGCTGAGAGGGACTCCTGCGGGAAAACGGGGTTGGGGTGGGGGAGGCGCCCCACGGCAGAGTAGGAATGATACATGCTTTCACTAAGAGTCTCC